GTTGACCAGGATGGTCTTGATCTCTTGACCTCGTGATCCACCCGCCTCGGCCTCCCAAAGTGCTGGGATTACAGGCTTGAGCCACCGCGCCCGGCCTCCATTCTTATCTCAGTATTTACATCTATAAAAATGAAAAATAGTGCCAGGCACTGTGACTCACGCCTGTAACCCCAGCTTTTGGGAGGCCGAGGTGGGTGAATCACTTGAGGTCAGAAGTTTGAGGCCAGCTTGGCCAACATGGTGAAACCCCATTTCTACTGAAAATACAAAAATTAGCCAGGCATGGTGGCACACACCTGTAATCCCAGCTACTCAGGAGTCTGAGGCGTGAGAATCACTTGACCCAGGAGGTGGAAGTTGCAGTGAGCCGAGATCGTGTAACTACACTCCAGCCTGGGCAACAGAACAAGACCCCATCTCAAAAAACAAAAGAAAAAGAATAGAATTGTGGCAATAAGTAAATTTTCAGCCATGTATAAACATGAACTAGTTGAGAAAATAAAGCTATGTCCTTATTGACAGATACATGGCCAATCACTTTATTTTTTATGTTCAACAATTACTTTATCAATGTATAGCTCCTTTTGAACAATTTCATACCAATTGTAATAACTGAATCCAAAATATTTTAAAGTTTAAATTTATAAACATTTTTATAGCAAAGAAGTATGCTAGGATGATCATTAAAATATCAGGGATGAAAATATGTTACGTTAGAATAAAGTGGGTTGGAAATAGAGGTCCAGGAAGAAAAAAAGATGATATAAAATTTCTAACTTAAAAATGAGCTTTTTATTCATGGATGATGGTAGCTATCAAATTGCTATTATGTATAGATTATATTGGATATGTTTTTTAAAGACTGAGATCGTTATTTTTAAATATGCCAGAAATTACATCCTTTATAATTTAAATTTATGATAAAAAATTTAAACATCAATTTAGAAATGTATGAAGTGATACCTAGTTTTCCAAAATCTCTTTGGGAGTATGCAAGTAGAAAATTTGAGGACCACTGACAATATATTCTTAAACTTGAGAAGGACACTTCAGTGATCTAGTCTGGTCTCACACCTGTTATGTAATTTGGTTATCCAACTAAATCACACCAGGGGTTTTTAACTTGCCAAATGGGTATGATTGATTTGGAGGCAATTGTCTTTCCTAGACATGTCTTTTAACTCTCATTCCTAAAACATAGTAAAATATTTCATGACAAAGATTTGGTTCTCCTTCAAGTTTTTCTGCATTAATTTTAGCTCAAATAGCTACAACAGGTTTGCGTACCTTGTCATGATTTTGAAATGCACTATCCATCAAAACTATTATCTCTGGGAGAAATTACAATCTTTAGAAACTATATAAGAAAAAGAAGCAGCAGATTATTTTCCATTTATCTAGAAAAAGGGCTTCAAAAAAAATGATGAATTGACGCTGTGAGCATTTTAAGTTTGGTTCTATTAATGTAAGAATAATTTCACTTTACTTCTGTAATTTAATGTTTTCTCTTTTTTTTTTTTTTTTTTTAAAGACGGGGTTTCTCTCTTGTTACCCAGGCTGGAGTGCAATGGCGCCATCTCAGCTTACCGCAACCTCCGCCTCCCGGGTTCAGGCAATTCTCCTGCCCCAGCCTCCTGAGTAGCTGGGATTACAGGCACGTGCCACCATGCCCAGCTAATTTTTTTTATTTTTAGTAGAGACGGGGTTTCACCATGTTGACCAGGATGGTCTCGATCTCTTGACCTCGTGATCCACCCGCCTCGGCCTCCCACAGTGCTGGGATTACAGGCTTGAGCCACCGCGCCCGGCCAATGTTTTCTCTTAAAGTATACCTTGGCAAGCTGCATCATTTTTAAATTTGGCATAGTATTTCATTGTGTGAATGTTACATGATTAATTTAACGTTTGACCTGTTGGTGAACGTTTAGCTTCATCTATTGCTGAACATTTTGCCATTCAGTGCAATTACTGAGTCAAAGAAAATGTGCATATTTAGTTTTAGTAGATACAGTACTGCAAAATATCCCTCTAAAAAAGCTTAACAACAGTGCTAATTTCCCTATACCATCCCTACCTGTGGACACTATCAGCCTTTTGACTTTTTGCAGTTTCAAAAGACATCACATGTGCACTCACACACACAAAAGCAGTCTTTGCTTAAATGTCACCTTCTTAATGAGGTCATCACAATTTTCCTCTTAAAATTGAAGTACCACCCCCCACCCCCAGCATTCCTTAATCCCCTTTACGCTATTTTCTATAGTTCTTACTACCTTCTGGCATGCTGTTCTCTCTTCTTACTCCAGACTGTAGGCTCCCAAAAGGCAAAGGTTTGGGGTTTTGTCCTGTTTATTATGAACAATGCCAGGCACGTGGTAAAAAAAAATCGCATATTTATTGAATTAAATAGCCATGGCAGTTGTAAAATACACATGAATTTCAACCACAGCTGTTATGTTTCTCCTTTGGTCCATCTGTTCCTGATTTAAATACATCTCACCTGACAAGAAAGTGCTCTTAAAAGCAGCAACAACTCCTTACAGCGCATTACTCTAAGCGAATCACCCATGTCTGGCTACTAGCAGGCCATTTGGGAGAAGGAAATACTGTCGTGCACTGTATAGCAACATGCAGTCAACAGTAGACTTCATATGCAACAGTGGTTCTATAAGATTATGATAAAGCTGAAAAATTCCTATTGCCTAGTGATGTCGTAGCCATTGTAATGCTCGTGATGTTGTGGCAGAACACTTTACTTTTTCTGTGTTAAGATACACAAATACCATTGTGTTACAATCGCCTGCTGTATTCAGTAAGGTAACATGGACATGTTTATAGCCTAGGCCCAGTAGACTGTACCATATAGCCTAGGTTTATATTAGGTTATACCATTTAGGTTTGTGTAAGTACGCTGTTAGGATGTTTGCACCATGACAGAACCACCTAATGATGCATTTCTCAGAACATATCCCATCATTAAGAAACACATGACTGAACTCTTCCTACTCTGGGCTCCCAGGCAGTTGATTATCAAGAAAGTATAGCTCAGCCAGTGCTGGCCATCCAACCACCACCTTGCTTATTTTAGCCCTTCCCTTCCTGTTTTTTTCCTGCCAATGCCTAAGGGGGCCTAGAAACAAGAACCAACCCTATAAAAACAGAGATTCTACCCAGGCGAGTGACTGGCACTGATCTCCCCCAACTAGGCGCAACCCACTCCTACTAGCCCTTTGGCCCCACACCCTTTCCAGTAACAATGGCAGCTTAGTCAAACAACTGAGGTTTGGTAGAGCACCAAGTTTCATTGTTTTTGTCAGGCCAGATTTTGGATGTGAAAGAGGTATCAGACTAAGAGAAAACAAAGAATAGTGACTGAATTCAGAGTAGCTGGAGTTACTTATGCTAACAGTTGTTCACCTACCACTTTAGCATTTTGGTGATAGATGTAACAATCCTTAGCTGCTATGTACTCCCTTCACATTTATCAACATCTATAATGTCCTCTCTTTCAGTGGCATATCATGTCAGATTTGCTTCAAATAGGGAAGTTTGATCATAATATTTTCACTGTGATGTCTTTAATGGAGAGGCTAGGTGGTGGTTTTGATAGCTCACCTCAAGGCTAATCAGGAGGTCTGTAGTGTTGTTAGCCTTCATCCTAACCTGGAAAAAAGAAAAGCAGTGATCACTAAGTATCACTGGCAGACCTAAAAAAGGAAAGAATATGGTAGGAGAAGCTGTGCAGTCTAAGGAAATCGCACATTGTATTTACTTCATATTCTATTTAAGTGATGAGTTGCTTTATTCCTGGTCCATTACTTATTTCATCTTCTTGCTAGAACAGTATAGGGGTGACGCTTGATGATAAAGTTCTGGAAAGCAGATAGAGGTTTTCAGGAACTCGGACATTCCAGAATAAAAATCTGAGCAAGAGAGATGAAGAGACTTGGATACAGAGGAGGAAGTTTTTATTAGGAATGTCAAAGTAGTGGAGTGGGAATAACAAAGACCAGAAGAAGCTTCACTTGATTGTAATTAATTTGCAGTGGTTGTTAAAGGTAGGCACCAAGCCAGCATCACCACTTTATAAATAATAAACCTGTGGGGGTGATGTTGTGAAAGATGCATGCTAAGGTTGCATCAGCAAGGTGAATCACCGAGTGGGTGGGCCCGTCTAGAAAAGCATGTGTGTTTGGAAAGGGATCATTCTACAGTTTAGTCCAAAACACCTTGAGCATACAGCATAGCAGAATCTTGGCTGTAATACTTCGAGTAAATGTCACTGGCAAAAACGGTACGTTTGCTGGTATGTTCATAACAAATACTCCTGGTTAAGTATTTGCTGGTCCTTTAGCATATAGAATCTCAGTATTAGAGGAAAATAGCAAGCTGAAAGCATACCATATTCCCATTCTTCAGTAGCCAATTTCACCTATTGCATTACTTCATTACAAATTGCAGCTGTGTAGCCAGTAACTGATCCATAGGATGCTTTCTGTTAGGCACAAAGTAGAATCCAGCTGTTAGCTGTTTGTTGAAAGAAGTAGGAATCTTAGGAAATGTTTGCCTGCCACTTCCTCCTTTTCCTAATACCTGCCTCACCCCGCCTCTCAACTGGTGGTCATGTTTTTTTGTCATCCACCATTCAGGAGAAATGCTATCAATGAACCACACTGGCTACACACACATACCTTTTCCTCAGATGATAGTAATCATCTTTGCCTTAAAAACCAAAGCTCTACCAAGTTTTCACTATGAGAGAAAAAAAATTAGAACACCCGGCCTTGTAGTTAACACAACTGATTAATGAAAGTTGACAAGATCTAAATGCCTATACAAACTATCCCAAGGTCACAGGAAATTAATGGCAATATTATGCAAGGTTAGGGTGGTTCACTTTCTATAGGAATTTGGATTTTACTTCTTAAACTACAATGGAAATGACTCAGGCAATCTGCTTTGGCAGTTTATTCTTGAATAACACTGATTTCTCATTCAAGGGGAAAACACTGTATCGAACAGCTCCGACATGGCAGAAGTGAAGCCAGTGTTCCGGGAAGTTCTTCCAAAACAAGGTAGTACATCACAAATACAGAGATCATTATTATAGAGACAAACCAAGTGATAGGCAGTGTCACATAGCAGGCTTAATAGCTAAACATCTGCAGCTGTTGTGTTCCATATTGTCTCATTTACTGTTTACTCTTACTGTATGCTTTTCTTATCAGATTATAAAGGAGGGATCCTCACTTTTTTCTTTCCAGTAAAAGGATAACAAATGAAGCATTGTTTCTTATACCTAAAATTGCTAATTACAATATGAATTTTTTTTTTTTAAGAGACATGTTCTCACCCGGTCACCTAGGCTTGGATCCAGTTGGCATAATCATAGCTCACTGCAGCCTTGAACTGCTAGGCTCATGCCCTGGCCTACCGATTTGCTAGGACAGCAGACATGTGCTACCATGCCTGGCTAGTTTGTTTTTGTAGAGACTGGATCTCAATGTGTTGCCAAAGCTGGTCTCGAACCCCTAGGCTCAAATAATCCAACCCCTTTGAGATCCCAAAGTGCTGGGATTACAGGTATGAGCTACCATGCCCGGCTCAATATGAAATTTCAATGAAGGATATAATGGAATTTACTATGTTAAATAAGGTCTGAAAGTGGAGAAAGAGAAACCAACCGTAAGCAACAGAAGAGCTGAAAGTTTAAACAGGCATTTGAATATTTATGTTAAATACCATACTTTGCTATAGTTTTTGCACTACATATATATATTCTGCCCAATCTTATTTTAAAATTAAACTTCTGACACAAAAGTTTTGTCTTATAATAGCATAAATTCTTGGGTAGAAAGTTCAAAACTTGTTTTCCTCAGAAACACCCTAGTAGTAAGAAATGCTGCTTATATGGTGACTATGATATTTCTGGTCTCACAGCAAAACTCAGTTTAGGTATAAGTTTTTTTCAGTGACAACAGATTGATTTTTTTAGATCTTCATTCTAGCTGCAAATCCAACTACCAAACCACTGGGTTACTTTCCTTAATTCTTATTTCTTATTAAACTTAGGGCCATTGTTTGTGGAAGATATAACCACAATGGTGCTGTGTAAACCCAAACTTTTACCTTTAAAATCTCTGACTCTGGAAAAACTAGAGAAAATGCATCAAGCAGCACAGGATACAATTCGCCAACAAGAAATGGCAGAAAAGGATCAACAGCAAATAACCCACTGAACGGTAACTGAAGCACTTTAGGGAACAACCTGTCTTACCTACTGTTTAACAGTAACTAGAAAATGATATGCTTCTGTGTGCTGAAAGTAGTGTTTGTTAATATTATCAATAAAATTGATAGTATTCATATACAAAAATACCTAAGATTGATGAAATTTGTATTGTGAATGTAAACACTCTGGTTTGTATTGAACATAAACAGTTACAATGAACCAAGTTTTATGGGGTTTTTATTCGTGTTTTTAGAATTGCATATTATTTGTTCACCATTCCTGTTGCTATCTCTTATAGATAACATTCTTGGGCACAAGGGACTAATGGATCTTTACATGTTTATTAAAATCTGAATTGGAAGATATATTCCAGTCTTGCATAAAGTGTTTGCTGGGCTTTTACATTATTTAAACAAATTAATTAAATTTTTTTAACCAATTTTATGTGCCATCATGTTAAATACTATTGTGTGTGACCAGATCCTACCAGTGATGATAAAACTGTATTAAATCTCATTTTGAAGAAACCCTCCCCTATTCTGTAGTCAGCTAAACTTTTAATTACATTAATGTTAAGGACTTGAGAATTACATGACTGTGTTTATCATCCAGATGTCAATTAAAAACCTAAAAATGGAACTATATTTATATAAGCCTAGGTAATATGGGCTTGAAAAAGCCCATGAGGTGAATATGAACATTAAACTTGGTTTTAATTCTAACAGACAGACTGTATCTAAACTTGCCATCGGTATACTCCTAATAGTACCCACATAAATTCTGAATATAATTCTTTGTCGGTTTGCTGCATTCAATATTTGGCAGTTTAGCATAGACCTTGAGGGCTTACTGGGTTATTAGGCTATGTAAAAGTGGTTCAAAGTATGATCATTCTTTTGTTATTAATTGGTAGGTCATATTTTCTCACACATTGGGTAAATGTCAAGCTTTCAGTCTTTGGAGAATAACTTTTTGTAACATTAGCCATTATTTGGTAACAGAATTTAAGAATGAAATGATGGAAGGTATTACATATTTCTAAAACTTAATTAAGCTCTAGATCAGATAACAATGGAGGAAAGTGATACCTGCATTTTTTTCCCTAGTGTAATCTTAATTTACTATTGTACTTTTCATTTAAAAGTTTGTAGGGAAAAAAAGTTTTCAAGGAACACTAAGATTAAATTCACTACGTTCAAATACGCTTCCTTATGAGATTTAAAATTCGCTGTGTGAAATTATTAAAGTTTAAAAGACCTAAAATAAATGTACTCCCAATAAAGAATCAACACTGCTTCACATGTTTTATTTTGGTGTACATTCTTCTAGAACCAGGTTCATTTTTCCAGTTTTGTAGAAAAATAGATGTTCCAGCCACCATTTACTTAACTGTCTAGTCTTTTAAGACCAATCAGTATGTTCCCTGGAAAGATGAATAAGTCTCATGACTAATTTTTTTTTAAATTCTTTAAGACAAAGAAATAACTTTCTTTTTTTTTTTACTTCCAAAGCACAGTATTTCAACAGCAGCAGCCAACATGGGGTTTTAGCAGCTTAACTTTACCCCCTAAATAAAGCTTTGTATAAACCAGTGATTTTACTACAAAAAACACTGTCCTTGAAAGAAAGGAGTGGCAGTCAGACATCAATGCAAAACTTGGAATGATTAGGTCATAAACATGGCACTTACAAAAGGTAGCTTATTAGAATATTCCACTTAAGAAGAGGTTACTTTTCTGTCCCTCCTTTGCCCCCTCAAAAAAAAAAAAAAAAAGAAAGAAAAAACATTTCCTTTTAAAATTCCCCTTAAATGTAGGTTTATAAAATGTCAGAAATGCCTTGTACCCAAAACAAGTGCCAAAAAAAAAAAAAAAAAAAAAACTTGTGCTAACAACTCTTACAATTCAGATATATATTTTTATGATATCTAAGACTGCAAGAGTTCTTATATTCAGTAGCTCTCTGGTTTAAGGCGACCTCCATCTCCTTCGCTTACAAAACGCTTTCTGCCCCTGTAATGAAGAAAAAAAACAAAAACATGAAAACACATACAATTTCTAACTATAGTCAATTAAAAAATTTAAAAATTTGGTATTTTTTGGTTACATATTAGCTTTTAAAGGGTTTTCCATTAAAAAAAAAAAAAAAGTCAGCATACCTCTAATTCCTTTGGAAAGGATTCCCTACTATATAAGCATAAAACATCAATGTCAAATCTGAGTGTTTTTTTAGTACACTATCCAAATAATCACATTAAAAAAGTTGATACCAAACTAAAGCAAACATTTTATTTAGAAGTTTAATATTTATTTCTACATTATTATTATCTGTAAACTTAACAGTGAGCCAAATAGAAACACTAACATAATTCAGAATTATGCAAACTGGAGCTGTGGAATCTATCAAAATATCCATGTTTGACAATTTAAAAAAATGTTGTATCAGCTGTAGAAAAACCATAACTTGAATGTGGGAAAAACAAATCAGAATTATAGCCTATGCCCCATTTAGAAGGCCTGCTCTATAATATATAAGCCCACACTCTAGCTACATGTAGTGGCAACAGCCCAGAAGGAACAGCTGGACAGTGGCCTACAACAGTAAGTGGAAAATAGAACTTGGGCAACATTAGCTCTTACTCTCTGACCCCAGGCCAACATGCACAAGCATGCAAAACCACACACAAATGTGCACCTCGCCCAAATAGGCTAAAAGATAAAAGACAAAAGTCAAAGCAGTATGGTATGTATAAACAGAAAGTTTAGTTATCTCCTCATGTGACCCTTGAGAATAAAGCCACACAGAAACAATCAGACTTTAAAACAGAGACGGAAAAACTTCCGAAAGGCCAATGCCAGGGTACTGGCCACACACTTTCCAGTGAGAACATCCCCACACACAACCACACACCCACTTTCCAGTGAGAACATCCCCACACACAACCACACACCCACTTTCCAGTGAGAACATCTCCACACACACACTTTCCAGTGAGAACATCCCAATACACACCCACACCCGCACTTTCCAGTGAGAACATCCCCATACACCCACACACACCCATACACACTTTCCAGTGACATCCCCACACACCCACACACACTTTCCAGTGAGAACATCCACACACACACACACACACACTTTCCAGTGAGAACATCCCCCCCACACACACACTTTCTAGTGAGAATATCCCCCCACACACACTTTCCACTGAGAATATTCCCCACACCCCCACACACACTTTCCAGTGAGAACATCCCCACACACACCCACACACACTTTCCAGTGAGAACATCCCCACACACACACTTTCCACTGAAAACATCCCCACACACACTTTCCAGTGAGAATATCCCCACACACCCCCACACACACTTTCCACTGAGAACATACCCACACGCACCCACACACACATTCCAGTGAGAACATCCACACACAATCTGCAGTAAGAACATCCACAAACAGACACACATACTTTCCAGTGAGTCCACACACACACACACAAACACACTTTCCAGTGAGAACATCCACACACACCAACACACACTTTTCAGTGAGAACATCCACACCCACACACACTTTCCAGTGAGAACATCCACACACACCCAAACACACAATTTCCAGTGAGAACATCCGCACACACACCCACACTTTCCAGTGAGAACATCCATAGACACACACACTTTCCAGTGAGAACATCCAGACACACACTTTCCAGTGAGAACATCCACACACCCACACATACTTTCCAGTGAGTCCACACACACACACACACACACACACACACTCCAGTGAGAACATCCCCCATACACACACTTTCCAGTGGGAACATCCCCATACACCCACACACACACTTTCCACTGAGAACATCCCCACACACCCACACACACACTTTCCAGTGAAAACATCCACACACACCCCACACACTTTCCAGTGAGAACATCCACACCCACACACACACTTTCCAGTGAGAACATCCCCACATACCCAGACACACTTTCCAGTGGGAACATCCCCACACACCCACACACACACTTTCCACTGAGAACATCCCCACACTTTTCAGTGAGAACATACACACACACACACTTTCCAGTGAGACCACCCCACAGGCACACACTTTCCACTGAGAACATCCCCACACCCACACACAATTTCCAGTGAGAACCTCCACACACACACATACACTTTCAGTGAGAACATACACACCTTCCAGTGAGAGCATCCCCCCCCACACAGTTTCCAGTGAGAACATCCCCATGCCACTACACATACTTTCCAGTGAGAACATCCACATACACACCCACTTTCCAGTGAGAACATCCCATTAGCCTCAATTCTCCACAACCTCTAAAGAAGTCAAGGAAGCCACATACAGTACAGGTAAGAGCCTAGATCTTTAAAGCCAGAAAAGTCCTGGATTCATACTTGGCTTTTACCACATACTAGCCATGTGACCTTAGAAAAGTACATTATACCTTCCTAAGCCTCAATTTTCTCATCTTATTACTGATAATACCTACTCTAAAGTAACACTGAAACTACTTGTAACAAAGGAACTGCTCCACAAAATTAGTTTCCTTCAAATGAACTGGGACTTCATGAGGCAGTCCTGTACAGATTTACAAGGGGACTAAAACAAGCTTTGCCCTTGTTTTTCCATGAACTCAAAACAAACATGAGTCATGCTCTTCAGTGACTTAAGGGAAGATATTTTTCTGAAAGAGCTGGAATGATAAACTATCTTAGCCCTTAACCTTCCCAAAGACCTCATCCACTATTTAATATTGAGAAAGTAGTATTTAAATAAAGTACCTTGAAGGACAGAGATCTCTGAGTTGTTTGGAAATAATTCCAGCCTGAAAACATTCTTCTACAAACCGCTCCAGCACAGAGTATGAATGTGGGACATCCAGATTAATGTCCGGAATTTCATTATAAATTCTCTCATAACCCTACAACAATGAAATTACACAAAGAATTGTTAGCCCATATAATACATGTCATAAAACACAACCCATCACTATGTCATCAATCTACATTTAAGGCCAAATGTTTATATGGTTAAACTGAAGTCAGATTTGAATACTGAGAAGCACAGAAAGTAGATTTGTTACACTGTTTTACTTTAAAACTGTTCTCTCTGTTAAAGTCAGGAAATAACAGACATTGGCAAGTTGTGGAGAAAAGGGAAGGCTTATACACTGTTGGTGGGAATGCAAATTAGTTCAGCCCCTGTAGAAAATGGTTCGGAGATTTCTCAAAGAACTCAAGACAGAATTACCATTCAACCCAACAATCCCATTACCGGGTGTATACCCAAAGGAAAAGAAATCATTCTACCAGAATGACACCTAAATTTGTATATTTATTGGGCACTATTCACAATAGCAAAGACATGGAGTCAACTCAAGTGCCCATCAATGGTGGATTAGACAAAATGTGGTATATATATGTCCATGGAATGCTACACAGCCATAAAAAAGAACGAAATCATGTACTCTGCAGCAATGTGGATGCAGCTGCAGGCCATTACCCTAAGAAAATTATCATAAACATAAAACCAAGTAATGCATGTTCTCACTTATAAGTCGGAGCTAAACACTGGGTACACAGACACATGAAGATGGATGCAATAAACATTGGGAATTTCAAAAGCGGGGAAAGGGAAAGAGGACAAGAGTTGAAAACTACCTATCAGGTACTATGTTTGCTACCTGAGGGACAGGATCATTAATTAGAAGTCCAAACCTCAGCATCACGCAATATACCCATCTAACAAACCTGCACATGTACCTCTCTGATATCTAAAATTAAAAATATAAATAAATAAGTAAAATTGGTTACATAGCTAAAAAAATTTTTAAATACTGTTCTCTCAAAAGAGCTGCAGGCAGACATCAGATACTGGGCAAACTCCTTTCCCATCTACTTCTCTATATACATTTAGTATCTTAAAAAAAAAAAAAATACAAGGCAAACAAAAACCTCACCAACATTTAAACAGCAATACATAAAATTTTAAATAGGAAAAAAGTACTTTATAATGTGTTAAAAGTTCATGTTTCTCTCTAGATAGAAAACAGAAATTGTCGCATCTTAGAAACTGAACCCTTGAGGTAGAATACATAATCACATTTGTTAATATAGGTAGAAAACCCACTGCAGTGTTACTTTCCAAGAAATGGTTGCAAAAGATTCAAACCTCAAACATTAGTATTAAGAAAACACAAAATATATAGGCATAATAACACTAAATATACCTAAAGAAAATTTCATTGACAATTAA